CTGGTTGTCCTGTAGAGACTGTACTGTTCCTTTACTTGTGGGGGTAGTTTTGGTTTTGAAGATGTTATTGGATTAGTCCAATCTTTCCTGGAACCCAAGATGGTTACAGGAGAGACAGAGACACTCAGAGTGAAGGAGATAGATGCAAAATGGAGGGGAGAGAAGTCAGTGCTTTTCTGCAAAAGCAGTATAGGTACCTGTAACAATTCCTTCCTTATGCTCAATTACTCCTCAGTCCTGAGGAAATTAGGGTGTAAGTCAATGTGGTTTTGTCAGTTTCCTGGCTGGGGGTTACTAGGATGCAAGTAGAGGACAAATTTGTAATATCTGAAGTATAGAAGGTAAAAGAACCTGTTGGTCAAGTGTAAAACCAGAAACACCATTATAAAGCAGAATACCAGAAGGAGGAAAAGATATTCAGTTACACAAATTGCATAGGGCATCCACTTTTCAGAGCTTGCCAAGCCCTTGTAGGAAGTCTTCCCCACAGAATTTTATTCCTCCTCCTCTGCCACCTTTATTCTATCCATTGTGCTCTCTTCTACTTGTTTTTTCATCTCTTGCCTTCAGTTAGCTTCTGAATAGACTCAAACTTGCTCTGGGCAACCCATCAACTAAACTTCCCTTGTCACCTCTTAAGTTTAAGATAAAAATGAGAACCTCACATAAAGGCTTCCACCTACCTGGGACCCTTAGGCTTCTGTGAGAGGGCCCCCACCAACTTCCCTTTCTAGCTTGAAGCAGCTGAAGAGTGGCCGTTGCCCCTTTTCCCTACCAGCAGTTAGGGTTACTTCTTCAGAGAGGGGAATGAGACAGAAGGGCCCCTGGAAACCTCCATTATGACCTCCCTGTGACCTTGGAGGGGGGAAAGAAGGAAAGAACAGATGGATGAGGATCAGGACTGACCAATCAGAACATTGCAGGCACAGCCAACCAAAATGCTGCTTTCTGTATACCTGATTAACACAGAGATTGAGCAAGCCCTGGAGAGAACAGATAAAAACTTCAGATCATGTCATTTCTTGGGCACCCTCTCTTGGGACCCCCTTCCAACTCTGGGGGCTCGGTTATCCCACTTTGCACTTTTCTATCTTAATAAATTCTCATGCTTTACACTTAAAAAAAACCCCACTTTTTGACTTCATTCATCTTCTTGAGTTTCTTCTACTACACAAGTTCATAAAATCCATCTGTTTTTGTTGTTCCTCAGGGCTGAGACTAGGCGACAAGAAGTTTGATAAGGCACAAAAATTTAGGAGGCTCTTACTCTCCTGCAAGTGGCATTGCACTTGTGGAACTTGGCTTTTTCAAGTTTTGCCCTCTAGGTGACTGGCTTTCTCCCAGCCCCAGTCCTGGCCCTGATGCTCCTATTTCCCACTAGTGTGTATTCATTGTGATCTGACTCCTGTTTCAAATAGGCTGCATTTATTCCAGTTTTCAAGCACCTGCTGTGCACTATGCATTATGCCAGGTTTAGACAGTACAAAGGCCCTCGCGATACCACTTCTTTCATTCAGATGCTTTCTTCAGATTTACTTTTTTTTTTTTTGGCGGCACTGGGGTTTGAACTGAGGGCCTTGTACCTCTTGAGCCACTCCACCAGCCTCAGATTTACTGTCTGAAGCCTAGTGCCTTTTCCCATTCTTCATCATGCCTGCCTTTTTGTACCATGTGGTAGGTTGATTGTTACTGTCAGTACATCCTGACCCCAGCCCAATTCTTTATAACATCTGTCTATTTCCATAGTAAGGCCCATCTCAAGAAGCAAGTGGACAGCTGGACCTCATTCTAGTGAGGCATGGAAATTAACTTGTGCTTTTCGTGTGTCAGGGGAGACGTGACTAGGGTTTCTACAGGGTTAATGAATCTTCACAACTGTGTCACAGGGAAGGAAAGGTTCACCATTTCGTCATCTTCTGCTTCACATATTGTATACTTGGAATCTTTTTTTCTAGTGGTTTGGTACTGAAAGGTGAGCTTTGACTCCTTGCCTAACTGTTTGGCTAATTCTTGCCAACTTTGTTGCCTGGGTCCTGTGTTCTTTTTGCATTTTTTGCAGACTTGTTTTTAATGTGGTTTCCCAGAATAACATGTTCCACTTGGTGTTCTCACTATTTGTTCATGGAAAAACACTCATCCGTCCATGTAAGGAATGACTCTTCAGCACCTGTTCCTGCTAGGCACTGTGGGAACCACTGGGTTACAATGGCGAACCCACCCAAACTTTTCTTGTCTTCCTGAGCTAGAAATAAGTGAGGAAGAAGTCACACAGATTGAGGCATATGAATTGAGATCTCTGTACCCCCCATCTCACACACTGGCAGATTACTGTATAGTATCCCATTCTCAATTCTGGTTCTTCTTTTTTGATTGTTGGCAGTTTGTATAAATCCCCCACCCTGCCCCCCACCATGTCTACTATTATTTGTGTTCTTACTAGTAAGAGCAAAGCTCGGTCATGAGTCTGTTCTTTGGAACCTCTTTTCTCCTTGTTTTCTTAACACTGACTCTGTTAGTTTTTTCTACCTCTTTATTAGTTTCTTTGTTATATTTTCTACTTCTTCCTCTTTGCTTTCCTAAAAGCTGCCCTGATTTTGTCAGAATAGGAGTGCCCAGGTCTTCTTAAAGGCCAGTGGTCCTACACAGTTATGTCACAGGGAGGGGATACAGCTTGATTGTACTTTGTCTTAGGCCTTTTTCTGTGCCAGTGGACCCTTTTTTGGCATTCTTATCCATTCTTGAACACCTTGGTTGCCATCTTCATGCACAGGGCTAGTTAGTTTCTCTCTGTAAGTTATGGTTCATTTTTTAAGTATTTGGTGAATTGCTCCATGTGCATGTATGTAATGCCCCAAATAGAATTCATTATCTTCTCTAACATAGGGACATTCCTGTCTCCCAGTCTCCTACCTGGAAGTCTATCCATTTGCCATGTGCTGGCTCTCCTCCAGATCGCTGTGATTACCAGGCAAGCCAGCCTATCCTGTGGAGTTCCATGTCAAGGGCCTCCACTTTTTTGGAGTCCACTTGCACAACTCCAGTTCAGGCCCTCCTTCTTTTGCCCCATCTCTTCTAGTTCTCTCCGAAGGTGACATTGCTCTCTATTCTGTTTGACTCTGAGTCCTGTGCCTGGATGATTTTTTTCTGAACATAACTCTAATCTTTGTTCCTCTCTTCTGCTCATTTGTGCTTCATAAACCCCCTGTGCCTCTGAAAAGCTTGGCTTGTTTTCCAGACCTTCCAACTTGTAATTTCCTCACCACTATTTCTCTCCATATAGGTGGGACTCCAGCCAAATGGAAATTAACATTGCAAGAATTGGCCTGTGTCTTTCTGTTTGCATCCCTCTTTTTGTTTCCTTTTGCTAGAAGTATGCTTTTCTCCATTCCTAGTTTCCTGTTAAAATCCTTCCCAAAGTTCTTTCACATTTCCTGACCTGGACATATATTTTCTGTCCCATCGTACTTACAATTATCCATATGTAAAAAAAAAAAATGGTGCTGTCACTTCCCAACAGTATTAGCTATTATTTCAATGGATTTTTTAAACCCAGTGGTTTTTTTTGCCCCTCATTATGCTTGGTACAGTGCCTTGTCAGAAGTATTTGTTGAATTATGAGAGGATGAGCACGTTTCTAGATGAACCCTCACACATTCTGGGCTCTCCTCTCTGTGCCTTCCCCATTCCTTTGCTGTTTCTCTAAGGCCATCTCTTTCACCCCTCCTTGCATTTGGATTAACTTTATCTCTGAATCACTTTGTATATCACCAAGTGACATGCTATCTTTGTTGTTTCTCTTCTGACTTAGTATTAATTTCAATGTAAAGAAAAGTTTCATCATTTGGTGAGGGATGTGTGGGAGAAATTTGGAGGAAATGGATACTAGTGTTCAGAATGACATCTTGATTTATTATATGGGCAAGTAGGCTGCCCATCAAGATTTTGGAAGTTTACAAGTATAGACTTGAGCTGGGCGCCAGTGTAATCCTAGCTACTCAGGAGGCAGAGATCAGGAGAATTGCGGTTCGAAGCCAGTCTGGGCAAATAGTTTGTGAGAAAAAAATGCCGGTGGAGTGGTTCAAGGTGTAGGCTCTGAGTACAAACCCCAGTACTGCAAAAAAAAAAAAAAACAAAACAAAAGTGTAGACTTGATTTCTGGGCTGGTGGGCCAGCAGAAACTAGAAAGTAGTGGTGGCATGCTCATTGTCTGTCAGGGACATTCCAGCATTGCAACTTTCTGACCCAGGGAACTGCTCCTATAGTCCTGCAGGTGCCTGAGCTTCCTGTTAGCTGGTTTTTTGAGATTATAGTAGGTAAGAATAGGAAAATAGACTTTAACTACAATATTGCCATTTTTTTTGAAAGCTTGTGAATCATCTGGGTTTCCTTGCATAACTTTTTTTTAATACTTCTAAAGATTTTTATTTGAGGCTTAATTTTCATACAAGGAAATGTTTAGATCTTATGTGTACCGTTTATAATTTTTTTCCCTGCATAACAGTGCGTTAGATGAATTAGTTGTTGATGAATTCTAAGGAAAATCATTTACTCGATTTCATAGAAGTATATCATTTATCCAAGGTTAAACTTAGGAAATGACACATCTTAAGCCCTAGGTTACTACCTGTTCCGTTAGAACTTCCAGATTCCAGATGATTATACCATCTTTCAGAACCACATTTCCTCCTGTTTTTGTGCATTTCACAAGCTGCATAGAACCACATCATTCTTTATTTTCCACGTCATTTTCCCACTTGTAAGGAGTTTCAGTTGGAGCCTCAGAGGAGCAGTCTAGTGTACCTGTGAGGGTGAAGACCTAGAAAAGAAATTCAGCACAGATGGTGTGCTTGATAAAGTGCCCAGGAGAATAGGATACCAGGATCCAGGAGAGCACCTTGTTGGCTTCACCATCCAAGTGTGCCTTAGCACTGAATTTCCAAGGGGACAGAGGAGACTACAGATTAACTGTTCTCCAGTCACCAGTCTCTCTTTGTTTTTAGCTGGTGACAACTAAGCTGCTCAAGGCAGGAAGAACGCTGAGCTGTTCAGTGGAGGTTTCTCTGGATCTGGAGAGAAAAGGCAACTTTGGAACCAGTAATGAGCCATCCTGACGGCAGGCTGAACCTCCGGCCCCCGGGGACTCTCAAAGGTAACCGAAGGAAAATGGAATCTGCCCTAGCAGCTGGAGAACTGAAATACAGTGGAATGGTGTGCAGACACAGGATGATTCTTAGGACTGAGGGAGACAGTAATTCTTTCAGTGAACTGTTAAATATCCTCCCATGTTATTTATTCTAGAATTAGGTGTGGTTTTTATTGTCGTATTGGATACAGCTGTTTAATTTCCTCTAAAAAAATTAAACCTTGTAATTATTAAATCTTTTAATAATTTCTATTTTTAAAAAGCATATATTCATAAAGAGCAAACCATACTAAACCTGTTATTCAGATTTTGTTCCATGCATAATATGGTGTTTAGAACTCGGGTTTTATCTATGATATTTTATTCATGCTTTCCTTTTTGTGACTGTTTTAAATCCCCATCAGAAAGGTTTATTCTCTTGTTGGTCTTTGTAAATAATAGTGACAACAACACAATAGTATCAAAGGAGTAATAGCTCCAGTCTTAAAAATACAGAGATGAGAGATGGCTGACTGAGGAAAGGGCTGATTGCTCCTTCATGTTTCTAGGTGTGTCCTCTGTGCTTGGCCCACATGGTGTTGGTGCTTCACCAGGTGAGAAAAAGTCAAGGAACAAGAGCACTCGAGGGAAGAGAAAGAGCATATTTGAAACCTACATGTCCAAGGAGGATGTTTCAGAAGGCTTGAAGAGAGGAATGCTTATCCAGGTGCTTAAAACCTACGGGCAGGCCGGCTGTTCCCTGAATATGTGTAAATGCAGCATTCTGTTATTCATTAAACTGTTCTCCTCCTGGGCGTGGTCACACTTGTAATCCTAGTTACTCAGCAGCCGGAGGATTGCGGTTTGAGGCCAGCCCAGGTAAAAAGTTAGTGAGACCCTATCTCAACAAACAAGTGGGCATGGTGGTTCGTATCTATAATCCTAGCTATGCAGGAGACATAGATAGGAGGACTCTGATCTGAAGCTGCCTGGGCAAAAAGCATAAGACCCTATCTGAAAAATAACTAAAGCAAAAAGGGCTGGAGTATGGCTTAAATGGTAGAGCACTTGCCTAGCAAGCTCAAGACCCTAAGTTCATATTACCCCTCCCAAAACAACACAGAACATACCAGTTTCCTGTTCTGTGCTATATACTTTGAGATGATGGCATAACTGGTACAATGCTTGCCACTTCTTAGACCTTCAGTGCACTTAAAGGTGATAAGTACCACAAGTCATTGAGGGTACTCTAAGATGTGAGAGGAGGCAGCCCTTATTTCAGTTATGTTTTTGAAGGATGCTTTATAGGGAGGGATATAATTGAGTCATGCTGTTGATTGGTGCAGTTGGAGTAAGTGAAGGTAAGAGAGAGAGCTGTGCAAGTGGAGGGGGACCAGTATGCGCAACTGAGACAGGTGGGAAGTAGGGGTTGGATATATGACACATTGGGTAGTTCAGTTTGCCTTAAGCACATGGGTGGTAAATGACTGAGAAGAATGGATAAGGTTAGAAACAGTGAACAGCAGCAGATAATACCCAGTTATATGTCAGATGTGTTCACAAGCTACTTTAGTGAATTGAGGGAACAGAGAACTGTTCCCTCTGAGCCAGGAACAGTTATGGTTAAGCTTTCTGTACTGTGAGTGTGGCTCAGTGAGGGGAGGTGGTCATGTGAACTGATGACCTGGGGATAAAATGGCAGGTGTGCAGATGGAAGGTGACCAAGATTGTAGGGGAGAACCTTGGGAGGGAACTGTGTGGCCTGAGGTTCTAGGAAGGCCTCTTCTAGGTGGTGATCCTGTGCTGGGCACTGAAGGATGACCAGTTTGGCCTGTTAGATGAGTGGTGACTGTGTGGCATGAGCATGAATGAAACATGAATTGTGGAGCACTATGGAGGAAGGCAGCTTAAGTCTCCTTGGTCATGAAGCCAAAGGCAATAGTAGAAATGAGCCCAGAGAGGGAGCAGGGCCATGCATTCTTTGAATTAAGTCCATTTCACTGTTCTTAATTAGTACAGAAATGTTGACATGAAAATGTTGACTGCATCTGATATTCTTTCATTCTTTTTTTTAATTCATTTACTCATATGTGCATATATTGTTTGGGCCATTTCTCCCCCCCCTTCCCTCACTTCCAGGAAGAATCTGTTCTGCCCTTATCTCTAATTTTGTTGAAGAGAAAGTGTAAGCAGTAATAAGAAAGACAAAGCATTTTTGCTAGTTGAGATAAGGATAGCTATACAGAGAGATTCCTAACATTGCTTCCATGTACAAATATGTTACATCCCAAGTTGATTCATCTCTAACTGACCTTTTTCACTAGTTCCTGATCCCCTTCTCATATTGACCTCTGTCACTTTAAGGTTTCTGTATTAGTTCCTCTGCAGTGGGGACATCAAATACTATCATGGTTTGGGTTTCTTACCTATCCCCATACCTCCCATATGTGCTCTCCTCTTGTCATGTGACCCAAGTCCAACAAGATTGCTGTATTTGCCCTTGATCTAAAGTCCGCATATGAGGGAGAACATAGGATTTTTGGTCTTCTGAGCCTGGCTAACCTTGCTCACAATGATGTTCTCCAGTTCCATCCATTTACTTGTGAATGATAAGATTTTGTTCTTCTTCATGGCTGAGTAAAATTCCATTGTATATAAATACCCATTTTCTTAATCCATTCGTGAGTAGTGGGGCATCTTGGCTGTTTTCATAACTTGGCTATTGTGAATAGCGCTGCAATAAACATGGGTGTGCAGGTGCCCCTGGAGTAACCTGTGTCACATTCTTTTGGGTATATCCCCAGGAGTAAGATTGCTGGATCATATGGCAGATCCATTTTAGATTTTTGAGAAGCCTCCAAATTTTTTTCCAGAGTGGTTGCACTAGTTTGCATTCCCATCAGCAGTGTACGAGGGTTCCTTTTTCCCCACATCCTCACCAACACCTGTTAGTGTTGTTTTTAATGATGGCTATTCTAACAGGGGTGAGGTGGAATCTTAGTGTGGTTTTGATTTGCATTTCCTTTATGGTTAGAGATGGTGAGCATTTTTTCATGTGTTTTTTGGCCATTTGAATTCCTTCTTTTGGGAAAGTTCTGTTTAGTTCACTTGCCCATTTCTTTATCGGTTCATTGATTTTGGGAGCGTTTAGTTTTTTGAGTTCCCTGTATATTCTGGTTTCTTTCATTCTGAAAACTCAGCTTATGTAGATGTGTTTTTGACTGAAGATTCAACCAAATAGTAGACAATATCATCTTTGCTCCTGTTATATCACCTTTCTACATTTACCTGTGGTCAGTAGCACATGTGATTGGTGTAGATTCTTGAGTAGAAAACTGTTTTTCTTAACAAATGAGTTGATCTTTCTGATTCTACAAGTACCATTGGCTTGTTTTGTTTGTTTTAAAGCTTCCTCTGGATTTCTTTTGGCAAGGCTTTCCTAGGAGAGTGGAAGCTGCACATTTGCCCATTCATTAATCCATTCATCGGTTCTTCATTGCTTTACTAGACTGAATTCCACTTTACCTACAAACGACTTAGCCTTCTTCACTTCCTGTGCAAGTACCTGACGTGCTTCTCCCATTGCCATCTCCCACCAGTTTCCTCTAGGAATGCTCTGTTTTAACGCTGAGCTTCCAGACTGTTCATCTAAAACCGTCTGTAGGATTCGTTGTCCTTGCCATCCCTATGCTTGGAATGCTTTCTCCCACTGCATTGTGTTCTTGTGCCCAAATGTCAGTCCCTGCTTAAGTGTTTCCCTCACTTCTCTAGGCAGAGTTGGATGTTACCACTTTCCTGCATTTGACTTTTTTTTCAATACTCTAACTTATTACCATTTCTTGGCTTTTATGTTTCCGCACATAGATTGTTCATTTCCTTGATGACTGAGTCGTGTTTTATTCCACAGATTAGGACAGTGCCTGGAACTTGGTTAAACGCTTAATAAATTTATGTCAAATAAATATTTATTTACTGGCTGAATAAAGATCAAGATACTGTCTATTGAAAAAGAATGAGTAGAACCTCAGTTGTGATAGCCTAAAATTTTGGTCATAGAATTGTAGCTTTACCCAGACAGGGTGAGAGCAATATTCTGTAATAGTATTTGTTTTTGCTCCCTTTTAAATGTTGCTTGTGAAGTGACTTTTTGCTGACATTAAAACAAAACAAACCAAAAAGTCTGATCAATATAACAGCTTGCATTCCCAGGAGTTTGTAAGTGATTCCTCCTGGCCTGTGACATCATGAGCCTCCGCAGCCAGAGCCCCCCCACATATGAGAACAGTTGTTCTCTGCAGATGGGGCGAGGAATGGGTTCCAGATATGAGGTCACCATGTGAAATATACAACACTGTAAATAAGATTTTCATAGGCAGAGAAACAGAGTCCATCTGCTTTCAGAACTAAACTTTCCTATGTAGGCCTGTCTGGGTAATGTAAAAAGCTAGACAAGAAAGGATATTTTAATGCTATTGGAGAAAATTAAGCGTATCAGGTATACTTAGAAACATTTGTTAATGTTTGTGTTCAGACACAAGAATATTGTGACCTCCTTTGTCTTTTCCCCATCCAGAGAAAAAACTTTTATTGAGGGATGTTACAGAGCTTATAAAATAGGAGTAGAATAATATTTTTGTTTTATAATACCTTGACTAGTAATTTGACATTTCATTGTTTTGCCCTATGTAGGAAAGAGGAGACCACAATGACGAAAGAGATCACTTTTCTATGTTTGAAACTGACCAGCAGTAATGATTATGTACATGTTTTAAAGTTTTTTTTTTTCCATATAAACAAGTTTTCACATCGGAGAGCATATGTCATTTCTCTCTCCATAGGTGTCATATTGGGAGGTTGTAATGAGAAGTGTTGGGAGAGATGAGCGCATGATAGACACTCCTGGAAGGGTCTCTGGTTTGGTGACATTGGTGAGGAGATAGTAGAATTGACTGTTTCAGAACCCAAATGATGCTTTGGCTAAAGGAAGTTAAGGCTGAGCCTTGAGGCATGATGTAAGAGTCTGTCCTGGAATAGAATATTGGTGTGAAGTTGTTAGACCTTTCAAAAAATCCTAGTCTGGGAAGACAGAGGAAAGGATGGGCTAGTTTCTAGGCTCTTTGTTAGGAGTGAAATTAGCTGGAGAAAACTTGGGTATGCATTGAAGATGAGAAGAATAGAGGTGACATTACCATGAGATACCCAGTCATTTGGAAGGGAGGAGTGGCATTTATAGCATTAATACCAGGGGCAATCAGAAAACTTAAGCTCAGCAGACATTAATCAGTTAGCTCAAGAAATGTTTCTTGACAACATCATAAATATACCAGGGAGCAAGATAAGAAAGTCACTGGGGAGGCTGGCAAAAATACAAAAGAAATAAAAAAATAATCCAGAAGAAACCATACACTGTGATCATTGCTAATAGGGAAGTAACAAAGATGAGAGAGAGTAATTACAGGGAGCCACTTTACATAACGTGGTTAGGGAATGCCTATGTGAAATTATCTCTGAGTTGAAATCTGAAGGGCAAGAATGAACTGTCCATTTTCAGCCTTAGGGAAAGAATCTAGGCAGAGAGATCAGCTATTGGAAGAAGAGGAAGGCTTGGTGTTTTGAGGAACAAGAAGGAAGCCTGCTGAAACATAAGTGACCAGAGGAAATTATAATATGGGAATAAGCCACTTAGGTCTCTAGGATATGTTAGAGAGTTGGATTTTATTTAAAGAACCATGGGAAGTCACTGAAGGGTATTAAGCAGGAAGAACACAGTCTGTTTCATGTCTCAAATGTCTCTCCAGCTATTATGAGATGAATAACTAGGGTGGAAGCTGGGAGACACTTAGGAAGCCATCAAAGTGAAGTAGACAATCTGTGGAGACGTGAACTAGGGCAATGGCAATAAAGATGGCTATGGAGCTAGAGCTGGCACAGTATGCTGACACAGTAGCTGTGGACTGTGACACAGGATGTCTCATTTGCGTTTGGAATAACCAGCTGAATGGTGTTGGTGATCAAGATAGGGAAGATTGAGGAATATGGTGCTGATTATGAAGGAGGAGGGTAGGAGGGCAGATGGCATAAATGAAGAAGCCCTGATGGCAACTGCAGCAAACAGAGGCAGCTGTAGAAGTTAAGGTCCTGGACTTGAGAGTCAGACTGCCTGGACTTGAATGTTGTGTGACACCCTCTCAGTGCCTCAGTTTCCTCATCGCTAAAAATGAGGATAATAGTATTTGCTTCATAGTTGTTATAGGGGCTAGATTAATTCATAGATAACAAAGTTCTTAAAACAGTGTGTAACCTGTTGTTCGCCTATATGTAAGTGATAGTTGAGATCCTTTTTACTACTGTTGGAGAAGCATATGTTACTCAACTCAGGTAGTTGCTGTCATGTGGAGATAGCTATCCACAGCTGCTAGCTCTTAACCATTTTTAAAGAAAATCTGGAACTACATATTTTTTATGTGTAAAATTCCTCAGTTCTACGCATTTTCAAATATCCTGTAAACCAAATAAAACATGTTTGTGATTGTCAAGTTAGACTAATTAGCTAAGTTGCATTTTTCTACAGTGTCATTCAGCTTCTTGGATATAGGCAAGGAAAAGGCAGATAGTTGGAGTCAGTTGAGAGAGGAGCTTTGCTGGTTGAGTATAAGCAGACTCAAGTCTTGGGGTTTGTGAGGGTAAGACATAATGGCAGGCCATAGCAACTAGGATGCAAGGAAAGGAGTAAACAGTGGCAGACAATGAATAGTAAATCCACTGGAGAGTTGGATTCTGTGGGCTGTGGCTTGGAGATTTTAGTACAACTGAAGAATCGTTGAAGTGGAGTTTCCACAGTCAGTGAGCTAGAAGGACAGGAGTCTATAGTCAAAGAGTGATATTTGACTTTCTGTGTTTGGATAGCTCTTTCCCCTCCCTCTCTCCTTCCCTCCCTCCCTTCCCTTTCCTCCCCTCCCCTCCCTGCCTCCCTTCCCTCTTTTTGCTGGTACTGGGGTTTGAACTAAGGGCTTCCTGCTTGCTAGGCAGGTGCTCTACCACTTCAGCCACTCCACCGGCCCTTGACTTTCTGTGTTTGGAAGTAGTGTAGTGAGTGGTGATGACAGAATACTGGTGGTGGGAATGGGGGAGGGTAACTGGGGTGGGTGGAGAAGGTAGCTAGGGTGACAAGCTAGGGTTGCTTGGTGACTGCTGTGGATGTGAAATTTCACAAGTGTTTATAGAAGTGGGTATGGAGGGAAAGGCAGTGGTGAGCTGTGCTCGGAACCTTAGTGAAGTAGAGCTATGATCTGAAAGTTAAAGAGGACAGCATGAAGGAAGTATGGCAGGAGCTAGTGTCATGAACTTTCCAGGATCCTGGGTTTTTTGAAAAATAGAGACAGAAATTAATTTTAAAGCCATGATGGAGAAGAAAGGAGAGAATAGTCTTCCTCCATTTCTGAGATGCCAGGGGTATGAGAGATGAAATGGACTTCCTTTGAGAGACTCGGGAGTGCCAATGTTTGGGACAGCCAAGTTCTGATTCATCGGGGAGCTGTGGGAGCATTTGGAGGAGACAGGAGATGCAGGACCCTCACAGGCCAAGATCCATCCTAGGAAAAGGCTTAGGAAGAGGATGAGAGACGGGGCTGAGTGAGGCCAGGATTAGAGAAGTACTGCCAGCTTCTTCCCTCAGGCTGCAGGAATAGCTCTGGTCTGTTGAAATTTGCTGTTAGTGTGATTTCTACTTTCAAGGCTTCTGTTCATGAGATCCAAGTTTGCAGTCAAACTTGCAAATTCTATTTGGAACAAGGCTTCTGTCCTTCTCTGTGTACTTCATATATCAAGATGTTTGGGATAGAGAACCAGGAATAAAATTTTCCTTCCTCCCTTCCTTCCTCCCTCCTTTTTCTCTTTCTTATGCTGGGGTTAAACCCAGAGCCTCATGCATGCTAGGCAAACACTTAACCACTGAGCTGCATCCCCAGCCCAAGAATAAAATCTTTAAGGTTCTTTTAATATGTTTTCTTGTAGATAAAGTCTACATGCAGCCTTGAGCAACGTTTCTCTTTCCCGAGCCCAGCCTTGGCTTCTCTGAGTGCTCTGTAATTAAAGGCATGTTCAAATAGAGGGCATTCTCATTTCTGTGTGTCTTCATGTGCTAGCCAGTCACCAAACTGGAAGGGATGATAAGAATTAAAAAAAAAAAAATGATGCTAGAGAAAAAGTGTCTAGAACCAGAAAATGCAATTGTTTAAAATGTAATTTTACACATTACATTTTAAATGTAATAAGAGTGAATTTACTCTTATTTGTTTGGAGTCTTCCCCTCCCTATACTGTGAGTTCTGTGAAGATAGAGACAGTCTACTTCTCTCCACTGCACGTTCATCACTTAACGTGGTACCTGTCATGCTAGTCCTCAGGAAATAGGTAAATGAATATTTGGGGTCAATATGTTTTTTCTTTATTCCTCAAGAGTAGCTGTCCTTTAAGTGAATTTGCATCAGTACTTTTTTTGTGTTGGTACCAGAGTTTGAATTCAGGGCCTCATACTTGCTAGACAGGCACTCTTATCACTTGACCCACACCCCTAACCCTTTTTTGCTTTAGTTATTTTTCCTGGTAGGGTATTGTGTTTTTTTGCCTGGGCAGGCCTCGGACCTCAATCCTCTTACCCATGCCTCTTGAGTAACTGGGATTAAAGCTATAAGTCACTATACTTGGCCTGTTGGTTGAGATGGGGTCGTTTGAATTTTTTGCTGGGGCTGGCCTTGAACCATGATCCTCCTAGGATTACAGGCATGTACCACCATGCCTGGCTTTGGTTCAGCATTTGTAACAAGGGATGCCTTGGGAGCTTTGCTAGCCACATGTTCCATTTCCTCTCTCTTTAACCATAAGCTGAGTTACTACATCCAGGAAGAACTGGCTGTCTTACCCACTTTTGCTAACACAGTGTTCTTCACTGTCCTTCCCTACTGGTTTACTGGCAAGTCTTACAGGTAAGGGACCACATATCATCTTTGGAACCTTCCCTGGTGCCCATTGAAAGTAATCTGTACCTGCATGTAGGTATGGCGTCCTGCACATTTTCCTTTACAAAAAGGCCCAAGCTTAGTTCTCATTCTGCTTCCTCTCTGTCTCAGGGTCTTGACCATAGTCAGCACTTGATAATCAGTTAAGGACTGAATGATTGTTTGTAGCAGTCCACTCGTACGTTAAGATGTTGTCACTGTGGCATGAACATTTATAATTTAAGCATGGTATACCAGTAAAAGAAAGAAATTGTTTTCTGCTCTTGCCTATTTCGTTAGTTGTGTGTCTTCAAGTCATCCATGTTAGTGGGAAAGTTATCTTGTGAGTCTGTTTCTATCCATGTGTTCCAGTGGCCTGTGAGTGCTGCTGGAACCTGGGGAGGGTATCGCTTCCTGCAAAGGTCCCAAACACTGAACTGCCCCCCACTGGCACTGTGTGTTAGTAGGAGTGGACCCTGACTTGGCACTGGACTCATAGGAAGTTGAAGGCAGACTGGGTGGCCTGGATGTTGGAGCCAGCATTCCCATGTGCACTAAGAGCTGGTTATGGACCATTTTGAATTACTGACTCATTCAGCTCTGCAGAGGTGCCAGGGTAAAACATAGGCATCCAGTTCCCTGAGTTTAAGTATTCAGGTTGGAAATCAACTTGTCTTGTTTTAAAAATTGTCAGAGAATAAGCAATAGTGCAAAGGTCTTAGAACTAGGAGAATAAAAAAGGCTATTACGTAGTGAGACATTGTCCCACACAACCTTGTTCTTAAGGTTCAGGCTTAAATGTGAAGAGCAGCCTATAGGAACATCTGAAATCCTAACAGTCGTTGTTTCCCACTGTGTGACAAATGCCATTGTTTCTTACTTTGTCTTTCCACTGCAAGGTGAGCTTTCAGCTTTTGGTGGAACCCGGTGTTAACACACACTTACATAAATCATGTTTCATGCACTCAACGAGTAGTTCTTATACATCTAACTTGTTTTCCAGATGCAGTTGTTTAATTGAAAAATTTTTTACTGGAGAATAAGATATATGGAAAATGATAAATATATAGTTAGATTTTCACAGATTATTTTCTTTTTGTTTTAAAGGGTGTGTTGAGAATTAATCCAAAGAAGTTTCATGAAGCTTTCATTCCTTCCCCGGTAAGTTCAATGACTTTATAATAAACTTATTGTCACATTTAATTTTTTAGATGTGCTCTGAAACTGAAATCATATATCCTAACTAGAAAGCAGAGTAGTAAAACAAAATTGAGGATGGGCAAAGATTTGTTTCAAATTTAAATAAACAAAATTCGCCTTTGGTTCACCATCCCTCCTACCAGTGTTAAAAATCACAAGCAAATGAGAGAGACAGCATTTGTTTCAAGGCTGCAGAGAGCAGCTGGGCCCAGGCAGACTACCCGCCAGTTTGTGTAATTGGATGCTCTTGGTTTATAGCTTAAAAGGATTTATGGTTTTTTCCACTGATTTAAGTTAATCTTTCCTATACAAATATGCTATCTACTTTCGATCTACTGCATGAGCTAATCTGAACATTTGTCCAAAAATAATGTGTCATGCTTTTTTTTTGGTCAGATTTTCTCACTTCTCTTCCATGCAGGTGATAGGAAAGTGTGTAGGGCTCTTTACAGTTGGGTTGTTAGACCTTTCTTACATTGATGACTTATTTCAGGAGGTTCTTCCAGTTAAAGCAAGTACCCTGAAATGCAGTTAGCAGTGGTCTCTGGAGGAGGCTTGATTGTGTAAAGCTGGGAGAGCAATATTTTTGAATTCCTGGACTAACTTTTCTAGGATGCCATAAGTGGGACAGCTATAGAATCTTAGATTTTCACAGTAGAAAAGACCATAGGGATGAACTTCTGTTGATAGATGAAGAAATGGATGTATATATTTCAGTTAACATTTCTTTATGTTAGGTAACAAGTTTAGTGACAGTCATGTTCTTTTAGGTGATAATATTATTTTTGTTGTCAAAGTAACTGTAAGACCTGTTCTCAAGCTCTGTTCAGTCCCTTTTTCTCTTGTTATCTAGGAGCCAAGGATTTACATTTACATCCAAGTTCAGGCCTTACCCATTGGATTAGATAAAAAGCATCACTGACTTGTCACAAGCTCTCTCTGAGTCATACTGTTCCTGTGACTGGACATTGTATATATACTAACCCTGGTACTTGAGGTGTAGAATTGAGGGTCAGCTTGGAGGTATAACTCAGTCACAAGAGCAGTCTGTCATGCAGTGGAGGTGCAGTTTATGTGAGTGTTAGATTCCAGTTTACTCACAGGGTGAAGATCCACATGTAGGAATAATAAAAATTACCCAGAGACATCTCTTCAGAAGGTGCCATGTTGGAGACAGGATAAGCCATCTCTCAGTAAGTCCTGCTTACCTGAGGTTTCTGCATGTTAGAAAGAAGGACTTCATTTAAGGCACACCACTTGGAAGAACTTGGTAATAGGAGGCCTTGTGTGAGCAACATGGATTTTTGCATGTGAGAATCCAGTGGAGTAAAGAGTTCATCTCAAGAGGCACCTGTGAACTGAGCAGATTTCATCTTCCATGCGCACTGAGTTTTGCGCTCATTGATTGGAGTGGTAAGGGGAACCATAGCATTGCAAAAATCTGCCAGACGTAGTCATGCATGCCTGTAATCCCAGCTACTCTGAGGCAAAGGCAGGAGGATGTTGAGTTTGAGGAAAAGTTAGCAAGACTATCTCAAAAATAAAATAAAAATAAAAGAACTTAGGGACAGGCTCAAGTGGTAGAGCACCTGCTTAGCAAGCTTGAGGCCCTGGGTTCAAACTCCAGTACTGCTAAAAACAAAACAAAACAAAAAAATACCGGTAGCTTTCTCCCTTTCAGAGTGCACAGTCTTGAATCCTGCTAAATGAAATCCCTGTTAAGTCACCATCTCAAGAATGAGGTCGAGGACAAAAGTATAAAAGAGGCACACATATACCACATATTGGAAAGTTACAAGTCAAACTAATAAACTGTTAAATTAAATATATCCCATGACAAGTAAAGTGTTTCTCTTGCCAAACACATCTCCATGCACTAGTGTGCTCAGTGTAGAATTCTCAGATCCCTTGGAGCTCCATGCTGGGATGTGGACAGGGTTTGCCTCTGGCCGCCCCTTCCCTGTCTTTCCTGACTCTCGTATGCACAGACGGGCATGTTATCCCACATTCCTCAGCTCTGTCCTGCCACCAAGTGCAGGGGCTGGCTATTCCAGAGAAGTGCATAGCTGAGCGCTGAGGATTCCTTGCCTGATGGAGAGGGGTGTAGAGTCTGGCTAGAGTCAGTAAATTCATATACTTTACTTTGCAGAGATGTGTTTCCATGATTTAATTTGTCTTAATGTTAAAGGAAAGCTGGGAAGCAAAAGTAAAAGTTAGTGACATTTCAAAAGCTCATAGTTGTTCTCCTGTTTGAAATTGTATTTCTGGCATGTCCTGTTAAGAAATTTTTAGACAGATATGATATTAGATTGGCTTATTTCTATGCCTTTTTAATTCTTTTTTTTTTTCTTTGACAGTACAAGGTTTCAACTTAGGGCCTTGTGCTTGCTATGCAGGTGCTCTGCCACTTGAGCCATGCTCCTGGCCCTTTTAGATTTAGTTATTTTTCATACATGGTCTCACGGTTTTTGCTTGGGCTGGCCTTGGACCATAATCTTCTGGCCTACACATCCCAAGTGGCTGGACTTACAGGTATTTACCACTGTGCCCAGCTTGTTTGTTGAGATGGGTGTCTCACTAACTTTTTGCCTTTGCTGACTTTGAACTGTGTTCCTCCTTATTTCTTTCTTTTTCTAATATGATTTATTTATTTTTTTATTGTTGTACTGGGGGTGAACTATGACATTTACCAATGTTCTTATATCATAGTTGATTTCACCCCTCCATCATTCTCTTTTATCCCTCCCCCCCATTTCTGCCTTCTGAGTAGCTGGTATTATAGTATGGACCACTGTGCCCAGCCTCTTTTATCTGGCTCCTGATAGAGTACTAATATTGTCTCAGAAGAATTAAAAATAGTAAATAATTTACCTGTAGGTAATTAAGAAAAGGTTGTAAAAAGCTACTATTAAGGCCCAGTTGCAGGTACTTGTATGTAATGTAGTTTTGGACACTGGAACAGTGTCTTGTTTATTTATTTTTTTGGTCACTTTTGGTTTTCAGAGGCATCATAGAAAAGAATTGAAGAGGGTGGTAATAGAGGCACTAAATTACATGTAGATAAACTCTAAATCTACCAGTGGTCTGGATTTCTGAGCGGATGTGGCTCATATCCATGCCGAGTATGAACTGGGGAATGCCCGCAGGTATTGGTGTGAACACCAAGACTGAACATTGCCTGCACCCTGTACCCAGGTTATGCTGGGAGAATAGAGAGGAGCTGAGAGCAAAGAGGTTGCAGCCTCTGTTCTGGTTATAGGAAATGGAAAGTCTCCTTACTTTAAAATCAAGATTCGATTAAGCACTGTCTAATGTTTCTCACAACTTCAAAATTCTAAGGGTTTTGGAGAGAAAAAAACAGAAATTTGATGATTTAAGTTTATTCTTACTCTAAAATGCCAGAGTATCTACCTAAGTCTGTAGGCTAAGAACAGTGAACTGATCTTCAGGTATAAAATAATACTTTGTTTTGAGGGAACTTGATTAGGTTGGTTATAATTTCTTCTGAGAGAAGGTTGTATTTCATTTTCTTATGACTAATCCAAAATGTGTGGTATGACTCACTTATGTGTACCTGCTAGTCTTTTGGGTTTCTCAGTAAAAATAAAATATAGACCGAGAATAAAACCATGTGATTTTTCAGGCAAACCAAGATAAAATGATATTACTGAAATGTCTTTTTATTCTATTTGGGGATAGGATAAAGAGGAGAAATGGACCAGATAGAAAGGCCTGGCTGTTTTCTTTTTTAAAAGCATGGTTTCTATTCTGAATTATATTGGTCCAAGAAGCTCTGTAATTTTTTATGTGTCTTGTGATGGGAGGCACCTTTTATACAGCTGTGGAATTTATTTCTGGTCCAAAAGTTGCTATTACATTGACAGAGGATGTTTTGGCTGTCATGGCATACTTAGATTGTCCTCGCTCATCATCCCTCCTAAGTATTTAGGGTGTTCATTATCCCTTCTCTTCTTTCCTCCTCTCTCCTGTGTCCCCTCCCCTCTCCTATTCTCCTCTCTCTTTTCCCTCCCCTCCTCTCTCCTCCATTTCCTTTTCCCTTTTCTTCCTCCTCTGTCCTCTTTTTCTTTCCTTCCTCCCTCCCTTTCTCTTCTGGCATTCCAGTGAAGAGGGGTGATTAAAATTTTAATGTGAGCAGTTCCCAAGTTTAATATCTTTTTCCTTTTTTGAGACAGGTTCTGAATATGTAGCCAAAGATGACCTTGAACTTGGCATTCTCCTGCCTCTGCCTCCCAAGTGCCGGGATTACAGGTGTACACCACCCTTCCCTGCTCAAGTTTAGTATCTTTTAAAATAAAAGATTTGGCAATAGATAGACTTTTGAAGGAAACAAGAAGTTGCTGAGTAGTGATGGAATAGTTAGAAGTTTGTGGGTTGTCTTGAGATTCAACTCAGCCCTGCTTTCCTTGTGTATGTTTTTTTTTTTTGGGGAGGGACAGATTGGAAGACAACAATACCATCATCCTATCACTTAAATCTCTGAACTATGAAGGGATGATTATACTTGCTGTAGAACAGGCATTTCATTTGCATATGTTTTGACACAGGAGAGTGGGTTAGGATGACCTCCAAACAGCTTTCTGCATTCCAGTTAGGTCCACAAGATCAGGCTGCTTTATAAGTTGCGGAAGGCAGCAATTCATGGTGATGGGCCACACTTGGGTTGTTCACTCTCTCTACTAGTTTTGTCTGCATTTCTGTGAGAAGAAGCTCATCTTGAGGTCAAATGCAGTAATTCTTTGTGGCTAACATGGTAGCTGTTCCTCGGGGACTAGGGTGGGGTCAGGTTTGGCAGAGTGTAGGCTGCAGCTGCCAGCCCATAGCTAGATTGGGAATTCAACAAAAAATCTGTTCTAAAAGATCTCAAATGGTTTGTAATTGGAAACTATAAAAAAGTACTGAGCGACTAAAATCTCTCTTTTTTTGGGGTGTGGGTACTGGAGATTGGGAATGCCAGTTTTAACTAACTAGAATTTCATAGTAATTGCCTTTAGTCCTTTGAGTGTTCAATCTTATCTGTACAGGGTGGCTCTATTCAGTGGTGCCTTTCCAGACCCTTTTGGAGACAACTCCTCTAAGAAAAATGAGCATTTGAGTTCTCTCTTATCCTTTGAAAAACTACACATAGTACAAGCTTCTGGAAGAATAGAAGAAAAGTTTGTTGATTAAACATTTTGTCCTGGGACCTGATCCCTGAAGGCCTATTTTTTCCTTAGCTGTCTTTTCTGTCTAAGTGATTTTGCACAGTAATGTGGCTGGCTGATCAGGAAGACTGGTACCTATTCATTTGAGAAGTGGATGCCCAGGGAGTTTGCTGGGGCTCTACACTGCTTAGAGTGGGTTGTTTCTGTGTGTGATTGAGGATGCTAAGGGGTCATGGTAAGGGTCTGGAGCCCACACTGCTCTTATGACACTCAGAGAGGTGGTGTGTGAGAACACTTTATGAATCTCATGGTACTCCTTCCTTCTTTCTGTGCTGTCTCCTTAGGTCTTCATAAAAACAAGCACAGTTTGCTCTCTTTGCCCCTTGCTGGCAGGCAGTAGGAATTTGCTGGTTTCCTCTTAGAGCAGCTGGGTGCTTCCTGCCCTCAGTGGGTTTTCCTGGGATTATGTGTTGTTCTGCATCTGTTTGCTGCATATCTTCTATTTTCACCTTTCCTTGATGCTTTAAAGAAATAAAAGATATTAGCATATTTTATTTTATTTAAAACTAAAAGGGATAAGCTAATAACTCCTTTCTCAATTCAGTTATGAAAGCAAAAGATCTTAGGTTTTTTATTTTTGCTTTATGTGTTTTTATTGATTTTTGTTCTGCCTTTAGCAGATCTTTATGAATTTGATGAGTTTTAGCATTCTGCTAGCCTGTTCTAATGTGTTCATTACCATTTTTTTTGTTGTTGTTCAAAAGAAATTCAGCTCCCTTTAGACTTAAGTGCAGCTATGTACTTAGTGTTTCCTTGAGTCACTGGACAAATGAGAGCATCTAATAAATTTTTTTTATTATTTTATTATTCATATGTGCATACAAGGCTTGGGTCATTTCTCCCCCCTGCCCCCACCCCCTCCCTTACCACCCACTCTGCCCCTTCCCTCTCCCCCACAACCCCTCAATACCCAGCAGAAACTATTTTGCCCTTATTTCTAATTTTGTTGAAGAGAGAGTATAAGCAATAATAGGAAGGAACAAGGGTTTTTGCTGGTTGAGATAAGGATAGCTATACAGGGAGTTGACTCACATTAATTTCCTGTGCGTGTGTGTTACCTTCTAGGTTAATTTTTTTTGATCTGACCTTTTCTCTAGATCCTGGTCCCCTTTTCCTATTGGCCTCAGTTGCTTTTAAGGTATCTGAGCGTATCTAATAATTTTAAACCAAGGAAGTACTTTTTAATTCCAGGATTCAGTAAGCTGACTATTTCTTTACTTTTCTCTCTAACCTAGGATGGTGATCGAGACATTTTTATTGATGGGGTTGTTGCTCGTAATAGAGCCCTAAATGGGGACCTGGTGGTTGTGAAACTGCTTCCTGAGGAGCAGTGGAAGGTGAGTTAAATTTTTCTTTTATAATTATTTTCTTCTTAGAACATTTGGTGTTCTATGATGGATCCAAGTCATCATAAATAGGGCGGGGTTAGGGGGAGGGGGCGTGTGACAGGCCCTATAGTAAAATGGGGTGTTGCCTCTGAATGCTATGAATGTTTGGGACTTAGCAGCATCTGCTGGGCAGACATCTAATAATTTGAGTTGTTCTTCTTGTTCCCTCTCCAGCCTGTTTTCCCTGTCACAGGCCTTGCATTGGTTTCTGGTATTCTTTTGTATAGAAGAAAAGATCACAAGGTTTAGACAAATGTAATATGTGTTATTTCCCCATGCCCTATGCTGGGAGATTTGGAAAGACAAAGCCATGGGGACAGTGACATTCTTCAGACATTTCTGCTGCCTGTACTAAAACCAGCCCATATGCAAAAAAAAAAAAAAAAAAAAAAAAAAAATATATATATATATATATATATATATATTATTATTATTATTAGGCAGTACTGGGTTTGAGCTAAAAGCCCATTTTCTTTTGGTTATTTTTGTTATAGTGTTTCACTTTTTGCCCAGGCCAGCCAGGGCTACAATTCTGTTTGGCTTCCCATGTAGTTGGGATGACAGGTGTGTGCCTAGCTATTAGTTGAGATTGAGTCTTGTTAACTTTTTGCCCAGACTAGACTTGAACTATGATCGTTCTGATCCCTGCTTCCTGAGTAGCTAGAATTACAGGCATGAGCCACTGTGTCCAGCTCTATATTTTTATAAAATAAGAATTAGTAGGAGAAGAAAATGTTTTTAATATGAGAATGTTCTGGGTTTCACTCTTTGTCTGTGTCTGTTAATTGAAAAGTAAGATGTACCTTTAGTTTTGATGATTGGTTCAATGATAGGGTCGGGCATTGGAATGAATGACTTTCTTTGAATTGCTATGTAGAACTGGTGACTTTTATGTCCACGTCTGAATTTGTCTTCATATCATTTGTTTCATTTGTCTCAGTTCATTGGTAGTTGGGAATTTGGTATTTTTCAGTGAGGTGTGTTATAGTGCAATGATTAGTAGTGAGGACTTTTAGGTGAGGCTACCTGAGTTTGAATCTTATTTCCGCCATTCATCTATATAACCTTTGATGAATTATACAACCTCTCTGTCTCAGATTCATCTGTAAAGTGGGAGTAATCACAGTGCCTACTTCATAAATTTGTCATGAGGATTAAGTGAGAATACATGTAAAAATCATAGAGTGGTATCCACAAGTCTTAGAATGGTGGAACCTCAAGAAAGCTAGTTCTTACTAGGTTTTCCAGAAGCGAAACAATGTGAGGAGTGTCACCTCACCTCAGAGCTTTGTTGAGGAATATAGGGCTAGAATAATTGATTACAGGTATATACCAGGTACTCAGGGTGCGGAAATTGTAATTATGCTCAGGGTAGACATAGTACTTGCCCTCATAGAGCTTGTATTCTAGTGGAGAGTGCAGGGAGGGAGAGACGGACAGTAATTTATACTTACACAGATTTCATTATAATTTCAATTAGTGCTATCAGGTTAAGTGCAAGGTTTTATACAAAAGTGAATTTTCTTAATCCAGATCTACCTCTGTCATCCCTGCCCCCAGTTGCTGCTGATTGTGAATATAGTCCCCTCCCTTGATTTCTTAAAACCATAGCTAAGGGTTGGCTCCATCTCCTAGGATCATACATTGATTTAGGTCACTTCCTATTTTCTGAAAAGCATCATCTAGTGCAGAATTGTTTAGGTCCAAGAAAAGAGGAACACATTATGGCCAAGTCAAACAAAGGGAACTTTCATAGAAATCATTGACAGAGTGAAGAGGAAGTATTATAATGAAAACTTAAAAGTATCAGAAGGTAGTGGCTTCCTTTGACTTAAGGAGTGAGAATGGTTGAATACTAAGTTGGATTGGTATTGTAGTCTTTTCTATTGCTATAACTGAATACCACAGACTGGGTGACTTATAATAGAAAGAAATGTATTGCTTATAGTTTTGGAGGTGGGGAAATCCAAGGTTGAGAGGCTGCACTGGGGAGAGACTTCTTGTTAATGGAACTCTCCAACACAGTCTCAAGGTGGCTCATGGCATCACTCTTGCTCTTTTTGTAAAGTCACTCATATAATCATGGGGGTCTATCTTTAGTACTCCATTTAATCCTATTACTTCCCAAGGACGGACCCCACCTGAAAATACCATTAATACATGGCTTTTGGAATTAAGTTTCAACACGAGTTTTGGAGGGGACAAACACCTAGGTCTTTTTTTTTTTTTTTTTTGAATTCCATATCTAATGTTTTTATTTTTATTTTTATTTTTTTATTATTCATATGTGCATACAAGGCTTGGTTCATTTCTCTCCCCTGCCCCCACCCCCTCCCTTACCACCCACTCCGCCCCCTCCCTCTTCCCCTACCCCCTCAATACCCAGCAGAAACTATTTTGCCCTTATTTCTAATTTTGTTGTAGAGAGAGTATAAGCCATAATAGGAAAGGACAAGGATTTTTGCTGGTTGAGATAAGGATAGCTATACAGGGAGTTGACTCACGTTAATTTCCTGTGCGTGTGTGCTACCTTCTAGGTTAATTCTTTTTGATCTAACCTTTTCTCTAGTTCCTGGTCCCCTTTTCCTATTGGCCTCAGTTGCTTTTAAGGTATCTGCTTTAGTTTCTCTGCGTTAAGGGCAACAAATGCTAACTAATTTTTTAGAACACCTAGGTTTTATTAGCAGGACATAGCTGGTATGGATAAAGTGTTGACAGATAGAACAGTAGGAGTGGTGAGCATATAGCAGAGCAGGTAGAGTTCTGCACAAGTGGATAAGGTTGTTTAGTAGAGCAGAGCCAAGTTGCCTGACATCCTTCCTGCCCATGGCCCCAGGCAGGAAATGGCTAAAATAAATAAAACATGGATAAGCAGATTTGTTGCCTTGTTTCCCTTGTTCCTCACCCTTTTGTTGATAAAACTGGCAAGTACAGTCTTTCCTAGTAGTGTCAGGGTGTTCTTTGTTTGTCCAGGAAGCCTAAGAAGATGGGATAGGTGGTTGACCAAAGCTTGGGGCTGGTTTTTTTTTTTTGGGAAGTAGGGTGGGTGAAGGTCTTTGTTGAGGTCTAGAAGGACAGGTTGGGAACTTGGCCATTCTTGCTTCTGCCTTGCTGCCTTTACTTCTTGGTCAAAAATATATACCTTCTTTAGGACTCAGTGCACCTTCGTAGGTCACTGGAGTTAGTTAAGCAGTTAAGAATTTGGGGAAATAGGTAGCAGTACCACAGTCAGTACATGCAGACTTCATATGCACAGCTTGTTGTTTTTGTTTTATAGTTAATATGTAAAGATAGAAGAAATTAAACCAGAAATCACTCTGGCTACTTTTTGAAAAATGGACTCTAGTGGGGACAGTTATACTTTGGGATGGCCAGTTAGGGGGCCATGTGTCATGACAGCAAAGATGGAGATAAATAGGAGTATATTTTCAAAGTAGAACTGATAGTGATTAAAGGGGGATTTTGAACTAGTGAAAGAGGGAAACTAGGACTAATTATTAAGATTTGGGTTTAAGCAAAAGGGGTGATTATGATGTCATTAATTGAAATGGAGAATAATGAGGAGTAAGTTTTGATATAAAAATGACTAGTTTTGCCTGAATGTATTTTTATTTTCTTTTTAGATGTGTTATTAGACAGTGCAGAGGCCTACATGGTTTCACTTACTGATGGATTACACTACATATCTAAGGGACTATTTCTGTCCTGGTTGTAATAAATGTTTTAGGAAAATGTGAGAAGAGGAAAACTTGTATCTTTTCCAACTTAGTCTATGGGGCCAGCATTGCTGTCATAATGAAAGCAGGAGAAGACATAAGAAAAGAAAACTACAGACAAATACTCATCACAAACATAAATGAAAAAATATCAACAGAATATTAGCAAATAGAATCCCAGAACATATAAAAAGGGTAATACAAAGTGAGAAAGTAGGACTTGTCCAAGGAATGCAAGGTTGGCTTAATATTTGAAAAGCAATCATTGTGATTCTTCATCTCAATAGACTTATATTTAATACCGCATTTCAATCAAATAGTATCATGTCATTAGACACAGAAAATGCACTAGACAAAAACTCACAGCAAACTAAGGATGGAGAAGGTCAGTTCTTCTGAGAACATAGAGAACCTATAGAAGATACTTAGAATTAATATCATTTGTTTTAGGTACCAGGGGATGGGTTGAACTCAGGGCCTCATGCTTGCTAGACAGGAACTCTACCACTTGAGCCATACCCCAAACCCCTAGCATTTTTTGTTTGTTTGTTTTTTGGGTGGGACTAAGGTTTGAACTCAGGATTTCATGTTTGCAAAGCAGGTATTTTACCAGTTAAGCCACGCCTTTAGTCCCCTAACATCATTCTTAATAGCAATAGATCCTCTAATACTGAGAATGAAGTAAGACTGTTCCTCCTCCCCCTTGCCCCATTTTTTTTGAGACAGGTTGTTCAGGCTGACCTCAAACTCACAACCCTCCTGCCTCTGCCTTCTGAGTGCTAGGATTACAGGTACAGGCCAGCATTCTCCCAATCCCTTTTATTCAACATTGCACTGAAAACTCTAGCCAGTACAAAAAGGCTGTAGAAAAAGAAGCATCCATTCACACATATATATGTACAAAATAGAACGATGAAATTTCTTGCAAGTGCTTGAAGTGGGGCGGGAGAGGGTTGAGGGGGGAAGATGGTGGAGGCAATCTAACCAATGTACAGTGTAAGCCTACTCAAAATTGTCATAAGGAATTCCCCCTGTACAATGAACATAGCCTGCTGAAAAAAGAAGAAAGAAAAAAAGAAAAAAAGCATCCAGAGGGGAAAGAAGAAAGTAAAACTGTCTTTATTTTCTGACTCTATGATTTTCTATTTAGAAACTTAAGGAATCTATTTAAAAAGCTGCTAGAATTAGTTGAGTTTAGCAAGGTTGCAGGACAGGAGGCTGATATATATGAAT